AAGTATTTCACAAAGACAACCTCAAGATAAAGAACCACCTGTACCATGAAGATGACGGAGGATACTTAGTAACAAGTCGCTAGTGATTGTGTTTGAGGTAGAACCTACCTATGGTGATCTTTGCAAAGGAGTGTTTGCAAGGCATTTTCACAATGAAGACACAGAAATTCATGTCTGGTCAAAAATCAAAGGCATAGGACACTATCATTGGTTACAAGGACCAATGAACTACTTGCCGCACGAACAACAATTGGAGTATATTGCAGACACTATGTGACAACTTTTCAACTTCTTTCGTTGGTACTGACTTGCAATAGGAGTGCTTCTTGGAGACCTCGAAACTAAAGGATGGAGGTGATGTCAAGGACATACACTAAGAAGTTTTAGAAGTTTTTAGAAGGTTCTAGAGAAGCTTTGTAGTTTGTAGAGGCTACTTGAGAAGTTTTCAAGTTTGTGGAAGTTACTTAAGAAGCTTCCTAGCTTATAGTATATATAGGAACCAAGACTGAGGGGATCCTTTGTCTTGACAACATACTTCTTGGAGCTCTAGCTCACCTTTCTAATGCTATTCTTGTACTCATCTGATTAATCTAGTTCTTGTCGATTCTTCTTGAGCTTCTTGTTTAGATTCCTAGTCAATATTCTAAATTCGTGACAATTAGAGCAAATTTGATGGATATGTATGCCATTATGAAGAATATGAAGATATTTTTTATATTTCAAAAAATTTCAGGGATACTTTTAAAATTTTTTCTTTAAATTGTAAAAACATATTGTATATGTTGTATAAAAAAGAATAAAATATGTAGATATTTTAAAAATAAGGATAGCAAGTGACAACCAAGTTCTATGAAAAATGCACTATGTTAGTTGTAGAAATTTTAAAAAATCTTTAAAATAATATGTTTTTAAATAATAAGTTTAAAAGCAAGTATTGTATGAGACATAAATATAATTTATTTAGAATTAAGAAATATAGGTACATTATTTATTGCATTTTTTGTGTTAGTATTGAAATCACAAATTTCTTAACATGTACATATTTAGAATATATATAATGATGAAAGTAAATATTTGAATATAAAATAATCTATTAGAAAATATATACTTTTATTATATTTGGTATTTTTATTATATAATCATAATCTAATTAAAAATTAAAAAATATTTTTCTTTAAAATATAAAGTACTATAGCTTAAAATTTCATTTAATATAGTAATAAATTAACTAATTGTCTTTATAAATAATTCTATAGACATCAAATCTAAAGAAGTTTAAATTTTATTATTGACTTATTTAAAAACTTCTTTTTATATGGTACTACCAAATTATATATTGCCTTCCAACTTAGATGTATTTTTTACTTACTATTATAAAGATATTATACACTTATTAGAGCATAACTCAAATCATTAATAATACAAGATATTCAATAACATTCAACTCGTTTTTTATATCAAAGATTACATTACATTAATCTAAAAATATTTTTAATTTATTTTTTAAGTTTATATTTTAAATTTAGATAATTTATGAATATATATACATATATATATATATATATATATATATATATATTTTTATATATTTTTATTTTTATCTAAAATTATATTATAAAAAATATTTTTAATGTAAAAAAATTAATTAATCCATTTAAAGGGCATCAAATTAAAATTTATCTTCTATGCTTTTATTTGCTTTTCTACCTCTTTTCAAAAATAATTTCTTATCCATGTCTTTCAATGTAATGTTTATAATGTATACATTTATAATAGAAAAATATTTTTTAATGCTTGGCTTTTATATTATTTAAGATTTCAACTAAAATTACTTGCATAGGAATATTTTTTAAAATAAGAATCTGTACTTAATCTCATTAAGGTAACATATTTGAACCATCAATTTTTTTGTATATAATTTTATAATGTATTAAATTACTAAATAAAATTATATTTTTAAATTATTAATTTAAAGCATTTTAAGAATTATACAACTTATGCTTTTTGGTACATACTTGAAACTATGTTGACTTAATAGATATTAATGAGGTTGTTAATATATTCTTAAAGCTATTATAAATAAAATAAATCTTTAAAAAATAAATAATAATTCAAATTTTATTATTTTTAGTAGTACCACTAATATTACTTTAGTTAAAGATATATTATTACCACCCTAAATTTCTAAATCATAGCAATGTTTTTACTTCTTTTAAAATTTAAAAAAGTTTTAAGCTTGTTTCTATGACTTTCTATCAATTCTATTAAAGATGTTTTAATGAATTTGGAAAAAATATTCAAAACCAATGTAGCATATGGAAATAGCTGAAGCTTAACATATCTATACTTAAAGTAGTCACTATCCTAACAAATTGACAATTAACAATAATCTTTAAAAACAAGTATTTAGATGCAAATTCTATATATAAGGAAGATTTGATTCCTTGAAGTTATAAAATTCATATGTATCCCATCTACCATTCTTTTGAAAATGATAAGTGTTATTAATAACACTATCTTAGAAACTAAAAAATACTTACATAAAGCCTATATTATATGAAAAATTTTAAAGGTCTTAAAATTTATAAAAATATTTTTTTTGTGTACTTGAAATTATCTAAAATATCTTCAACTTAGATCCAAGATGTTTTGCTTATAGTGCACTTAAAAAAACTTATAAAACATATTAAGATTTATATGCCAATTTAAAATATATTAAAGATCATATGTAATCACTTAATAAATTTTATTTAATTTTAGCTAAGAAAAGTAAATAAAAATATTACCAAGTTAATTAGTAACCATTATAACAATAATTTGAACAATTAGGATCTTATTTTTGTTTGACAAATAAATCCTAAGTTGTAGATATGCCTAAGATAGATTAATAAAATTATTGAATTGAACTTATTTACATTTTTCTTATGAAGCTATAAGGTAATTGTGTATAGATTTTAAAAAATTAGATTCAAATAATAATTTTGTATTTTAAAATTTCTATCATTTTTAATATATTGATGTTGGTTTGTTGTGTAAGTACATTCTTTCACAACATTGATTTGGAAAAAATATAGGATAGAAATGCTTGGAAATCTTATCTTATTACATTGATTTTTATAAGTATTAATATTAATAGACTTTTTCTTATATTGCCAATCTTAAATTTTAAGCTTCAATGGCTATTATTTTAATTTTTTTAATTTTTTTAATATTTTATCTATTTTGTTTCTTTAATATTTTTTTGTAATATGTTGTATTACATTTTTTAAAACAAAAATTTACACTATTATTTTTATATGTATTTTAAATTTCACATCAATTCAATTTTGAAGTAGAATAGCAAAAATTAATTGTAATATAGGAAAAAAATGGTAGAAAAATGGTTTTATGATTTCTTCAAAGAATAAGTGATTTTTTTTCTAAATCAAAAATAAGATTTTTTCTTATTTTGATTCTTTTGTGATTTATTTTCAATTTAGTTATTATCATGTTTTTTGTGATATTGACTACTTAAAGAACTTCATAAAACTACATATATATAGGATATAACTAATGCCACCATAATTTTTGTTACTACCACCACAATCTCATAAACATTTCAAAAACCAATTTGTCAAAATTTTCTTTTTTTTATTTCCACTATAACCATTTTATCATAGTTAGGATTAAAAAAAACTATAGAAATATGTCAAATGGGTGGCAAAGTTGTAATGGCAATAGCAAAGATTGTAATAGCATTAGCAATGCCCTCTATATTTAACTATCTACATATATACATACATACATATGTATATATATATATATATATAGCAAAATTGAGTCAGCTATCCAAAAATAGAAATTTGAGTCTTTTAAAAAACTCAATGAAAATTTTTTTATAGTTCTATTTTCATAAGATATCATTTCAATTTTGCTACCTAATATCAGTTAATATTCACAAATATACAAGTTGTGATTAGAAATTGCTATTTCAGCTTTATTACATGTCATGACTTAGTTTTACATGTCTCTTACCATCAAATACAATAATGTTAAAGAAGAGGAATTTAACATTGCAAAACTCAAATTCTCATGTACATTTGGACTATTAGCTCAAAGCTCTCTACATATTCTTTATAGATCTTGTTCAATAAGCATGGTATACCTAGATATGCTTTTTGCTAGCATTAGAATAGATCTTGATAACTCTATTTTTGTGAAGTTGCAAGTTGGTAGTTCCACAAGGGATGTAGCAAATGAATTGTTAGTGACTCAAAGTTATGCTCAAATCAAAAAGAAGAAATTGTCCAATTTTCAAACTTGTCTTAGTGGTAGACCACAAGTGCTTACAAATACACAAAAGAGAGTATGTATCAAAGCTGCTATGTTAAATGGAAGCATATTAAGAAATGTTGGGCTCCCATTACACCAGAGGAGTGTAAAAGGTTATGTGAAAGCATGCTGAAGCAAATCCAAGTTGTTTTAGCTAGTAAAGACATGATACAAAGTATTAAATTGTTTTGTGATGGAGGATACAAAAGTGAGTCAAAAAATATAATTTCCATAAAATATAATTTTCTTGGACATATTGATGTAAAAGAGACATTTTTTCCCATCAAAATGTAACTCAAACTATTATCTTGCACAATTTAAAGTTTGTAATGACCTATTGCCAATTTCTCTACATTGTTGATTGAATTAGGAATTTCAAGAGTTTGATTCAGTTTTCCTACATTTTGTGTGTGTGAATACATACATACATATATATATATATATATATACTAAATTTATATTCTCCAGTGACTGACTGGAAAAACTCCTACAGGCTGAGATGGTTGGAAGTCTTTCAACCATTTTACCGATGTACGTGCATTACGTGCACCACCCAGATGCGACTCGTCCGACTCTAACCATTTTATCGATGGAATACTCGATTGTGGTACTTAAGACACACCAATCGAGCAATTTCGGGAGAAAACAAGATACAACCACATATTCAATCACAAAACCTCCATCCAGAGTTGCACGAATAAAACGCTTTGTAATGTCCAAAACGAAAATGGGAATAGCTGGTTCATCACAAAAAAATGGTGCACATTGAAAGGTATGCTACTCTACTAAGGATCCAGCTACGCGACAACTAAAACTCTTCTCAACCTCAGTCTTGACTATGTCATTTCATTATGTAACATATTGACGAGTCTCAGTTCTCTGCCAGATCGTTCTAATACATTTCACTTGGGAGCTGTCGTTAGCGCCTGCTCAAGATCTGCAACCAAATCATCCACGTCTTCGATACCAATCTGTACAGAATCGTGCGCACAGTGATCACGTCATAAACAATAGTAAATAGACGACAGAGGATATTGAGGATTGAAAGACTCGTAACTGTAATATGTCTTACGAACCCCCATCATTTATGTACTACACTCCCAAATTTTTCACTGTGATCAACGCAATCATTATCAACCGCGACAGTGATAGTTATTTACCGAAATGCGTATGAGGTCTTCGGTCAGACCACGCGCCTCCCGGACACCTGCAGGAATGCTTGCGTGTGACATGAAGCATGGCAGGCTTATCAAAGACTTCACACTTCCTGCAGTATTCGCAAGTCTAAACACTGTTAAATAGAATGAAACTCTTTAACTATACATTAAAATTCTTGCTCTATTACATAGTCATCAAGGAGTGCATGCATTGATATTATCGAAAATCAAGCCAAAAATTAAGAAGCAGGTCAGACAACAGACCAAAACTGACGGTGATGCTAAATAGCTTGGTTTGTTCAACCACATGCTTCGATATCGCCAAAGAGCCAGTATTGAAGCTGAAAACGGACCCAGCCCCTTTACACTGCAAACAATCCAATAAACTCAAATTCAGCTTCATCCCTCCGGACCTCGGGTACCTCACTAAATCACTAACCAGCAGTGGTGAAGCGTCCCTACACGCTAGGGCATGCAGGTGACTAGTTGAGGGGTAAAAAGACAACCCAATCTTCACAACCCTTCAGCTCTTTATATGGAAGACTACACCAGAACAATTTCATACAACAAGGTTGTCAAAAGGTATTTTGATTTTCCTCTCTTCAATTCTCTTGCACCACATATCCCAATAAATATTGATGAATAGTAATGTCGTATGCGCAACTAATTATTGTTGAATAAAATAAAAGTTTGCTCGTATATCACAAAAGCAATGGTAAAATAGACAAACCTGCGAGTAATGAAGATCACGGCCAGTGTGCTTGGGAAGGCCTGCATAGTTCACGCGAGTGACAAGTGGATGATCCACTAGAAACTCAGCAATTCTCTGCGCATTGGCCTATCATGGAAAACAAACACACCATAAGGGACGAACTGATAGAGTGCTGATAAGTCAGCTCCGATTCAACTACCGTAACTGATAGGAGCCGCAGCTGGTCAAGTTCTAGCACAATCTATATAACAGTGACTAGCTTCCTCAATTCGATAACGCCGATTGCATACGTCAAACAACTTTAAGTTCTGTTTCCACGGTCCGCGTATCAAACCTGTTGTTTCTCGACTCGAAGAGCCATCGTCTTTATTCCACGTAGGCACAGCCAACAATCGAACGGAGATAGACCCGTCCCTTCCGCATTTTGTAAAAAGTAAATCTCTTTCGCCAGACTGCAGATCATGGTAATATTCTGAGCGCAGATCGCACGAAGAGGGGAGACCACTAAAGTTATATCAAGGTTCTTAATATAACCTCAACCACCGACACCTTCACGGTTCTCAACACGAGACCTACACAAAATAATGTATCCACACCCCAGTCCCATGCAATCTCAAACAGAAATTGTCAACCGTCCCACACAAACTCGATGCCCACCTCTCTCCCTTGACAGCTAGAACTCCAGCCATTACATCGCTGTGTCCGGCGATAAACTTCGTGGCGGAGTGCATCACTATGTCTGCACATGAAAACCATAAATGGGACTCGGTCTAGTCAGCCTTCCGTTCCCGAAGCCCCATAACCCAACACACGGTTGTGAAGCACACCATTACAAACCAACGGATGCGTAGACAGTGCCGACACGTAGATTGTGCTACAGCGTGATACACTCCTACACACTCCTTAATTCCATGTGCTACTCGCAACACAATAAGCATGACCCCCTCACTCGCTCTGAGACATTACACATCCACTTGAGGTGGGTTTACGAGTCCTTCACTAAACATGACCAAAAATCTTACCAGCACCCAGATCCAGAGGTCTGGAAAGAACAGGTGACATTATGCTGTTGTCAACAATCACCAGTGCACTATACTCGTGCGCAATTTTAGCTATCTCCCGGATATCGGATATCATTTGCCGTGGATTCGTGGGGCTCTCAAGCCACACGATTTTAGTTTTGGGTCCGACTGCTGCCCTAACTTCATCCAAATTGCCAGTGTCTATTCGCCTGTGGAAGAACACTCGAAGCCGTTCACTTCAATACACAAACACAAAATCTGGTCGATATACATGCGACTTGCCTTACTAGTTCCACTATTCAGCTCCAACCACTTTTAACTCAACAACTAGTGGCATGCTTCTTGTTCTTGTGTCTTGCTGGGCTGAGCGGATGAAGACCGTCACAGGATGCCCGCATCAGAGGTGTCTGTCCTAAAGAGCAGCAGGGCATAAACAACCGTTCGTTCATGCCTTCAGGAACCATGCTACCGTTAGCACTACGCAAGGTACTAAATAATCGAGCAAAGAAAATAGCGCCCAGATTTACTTACTTGACTATCAAACCAGACTTGGGAGCTACTTGGGAGAGGAGTCGGTCCGACCCACCATAAATATCGTCACCAGCAACAATTTCTTGACCTGTTGATATTCAAACAAAGTATCTCATGTAAAGAAAGCAACACCATCTCATCTACTTCAATACAGTTGCCGTTATGAAATGAGCAGTGCGGTCCGAGAAATTACAAGAAACAAGAGCATAGACTTTTCTGGAATGATAGCGTACGGTGAAAAGTGGAAAAAAAGAGGAACATAAGAATGAACAGTGCGTAAGATAAATGGCAATTCCAATGGCAGCATAAGTGGACGTTGTGTCCATGGTATGACAACTCAAAATCGATATTGACCTGCTTCAGCGAGCCGCATGACAGTGGCTAGAGCTGCCATTCCTGTCGAAAAGCAAAATGCTCGATCTGCACCTTCCAATTTCGCTAAAGTTCTGCTTGAAAGACGGTAAAGAGGGTGAGGAAAAGGCTAGAGATGAGCGGATAAACCAGTTCCCAACAGCAGCAGGGGAAAAAACACGGCCCATTCTGAGAACCAACCATAGTCGCCGAGTATATGTAGACCACGTCAAACAGCCGGAGAACGGACCAGACTTGCCTTTCAAGAGCATCTCGTGTCGGATTACCACTTCGAGTGTAGTCATATGGTCCACCTTCGGTGGCTGATGGCTGCCATCATCACACCAAAAGGATCGGCAGTCAGAATGTTTACACGTCTCCTTCGAAAGCGGAGAGATTCAGATCAATGACAATATTCACTACATTGTCGTAGAAGAGAGTCCAAATGGTACTACTTCTGCATACCTGTTTAAAAGTGGCGGTTTGATATAAAGGTGTACTAAGGGCACCATATGGATCGAAAGGATTGTCTAATTGTTGAAGTTGAGTGGAAACATGAAGTTTCCTTTCTGATTCTGGGCACAATTAAGATCCTTTACATCAGCAGTTTAGATTTGGGCGCACATCCTTGCATTGCAAAAATCTTAAGTTAAAAATTAGCTAAATAAAACGATTGTGAGAGGATGTTGATACATAGTCAACCAGTTCAACATATAGTTTCGAAGCAAAAGATAACACGGGCAAAGTTTATGATACTCTTGAGGAATGTGAAGGAAACCTGGTATCCCATCATCTTCCCACATAGCGCCTCCCTCTTCCAATTCACTCATGCGTGTAGACACTGCCCTCGCTGGTGAAATCAGTATTGATGCTGGCGTCTTGACAACAGTTTCGAAGTCCCGAAGATTGCTAGCTATAAGACTCGATTTCAATGGAAGAGTTAACCATCCAACAGAGGCCTGCATAGAATGAAGTCCAAAGTTCAGGTGAGATACGTAACTAAGTGGTCGTGATTGCTTGAGGTTTCAAAACTGCACTATACAGAATTTTCTAACGCAGCACAAAAATGATCACTACATCAAATTTTGTTTTGTGCTCTTAAACCCTAAACCCTGACATGTCCAACCACATCCAATTACTTACGTAAAGATCCGTTCAGTTGAGCTAAACCCGGAGGGAGAACCTACACGTAACTAGTAAAGACATTCGACGCTTGAAATCATCTCGGTCATTCCAATTATCTAATACGCTCACTTGCGCCATTTACAGACAATGAGCGAGGGCAAGTTCACAGAAAATGTTCCAACAAGCCTCAGAAGTAAGAAATGTGTGTCTCGAAAGCAATTCGCGACGAAATTGTATCAATGCTGCATCGCATCCAGAGCAACAATAGACAGGTCATCCCATTCAAGCGACAAAAGATGTAATGAAACACGATTATGTTGGAGAGCAGCGCCCGATTCGACCTCGCGAACACCGCAAACGAGGCACAAACCACCGCTTCTACGTAAAAATCACTCAAACCACAAATGAAGAGATCGGTTCCCCATGCACAAAAATCCCGAGGAGAATTTGCGGCACCATGTAAGAGCGGTGGTCTGCAAATGTTACCAAAAGCGAGAACAAAACATCGAATGTCACCCGCAATGCACCTGAGAAGTAGTAAATTGAGCAGAGGAAGAAGTCGAGACACTGTTGAATTTGAGACTGGCTCCGATAGCGGAAACTCCGAGAGCCGTAGCAGCTGCAGCCTCTGCCATCGCCAACGCCATCGCTACAAGAGATTTAGCTTCTTCGAACCAAAGCTCGAGCAAGTCCCCGTCCTTCCTAATGGCCACTTTCCGCATCATGGACGGATGATATTTTTCATGTTCATCCATCAGCATCTCGTGCTGCCACTTTGTTGATGAAGTCTTGTTTGTGGCAGCCAGCTCAGCTTTTGGATGAATCAGCTTTTGGGTGAATCAGTTTTTTTATTTATTACCCCGAAATTATATTACATTTAAAAAGCTCTTGTAATATTCATGTTTATATTTTTTTAGGTAATTTTGGATATCATTCAATTCAAGATTGTGAAGAGTTTGGAGTAAAATTTTGAAAAAACACCTTCAAAATATAAAGTTAATTACATGTATTTTAAAAAATTAAACACAAAATTTGTACAGTAAAAAAATGTAGTGCTCAACATACACTTAGAATTGAAAAATTAGTGAAAACCCTCCAACCAACACATATCTCAAGAAATACATAAACGTAAATATTTAATACATTGTAGTTTTAAAAAAATAAAACAAACAATAATATATATGGCTCATGAAACTTAGAATCAAGTATGTGTCAAAGAATGAGCATTTGCCATGCATTTAAATATAAAAAATTATTACACATTATAACTTTAAGAAAAATACAAAGTAAATTAAACATTCAGCAAAAAATAAAAATAAAGTATCATTTTAAGAATTAACCGTCAATGTGTATTTTGAGGAAAAGATAAGAATAAAGATTATGTGTGTATATACATAAATATATACTAAAATAGTAATAACTTGGTCTTGAAGTATGCTTCAAAGAATTTGCAATTAACATTGATTTACCAAAAACATATCAAAACAAAACCAAAAAAATATTAAAAAATAAATCATAATACTAAATTGTTCTTTGAAGTTTTGTTTACAATTACTGTTAAGACAGTAGCTTTGTATTATCAGGTCAATCTCAGGTTCACAATAGTTGCTAGCAACTTGTTAGCAACCGACTCAACATTATAATTACATTTTTTTTAATATCCTCTTTTGCTCATTGTTTGCTGTTTGTGCTAGTTTCAGCTAGAGAAGTGATAATTTATGTAAAATTCAATATATATATATATATATATATATATATATTAATATAAAAAAAATGATATATTTTGGCATAAATAAAAACTACAACAAAACCACAAACCAAACTAGAATTAAAAGATCTGAAATGAACCAGAAAAGAACAGTGAACAGGAAAATACAACCACTCGAATAAGTAATGCAACTAGAAACAAGGACAATTGATGTTATGTTTTTCCTGGCTTTAGGGTTTTGCAAAAATCATACAACAAAGTGAAGGCTGCTATTGGCCAAGTTGGAACGCAGCATTCATCGCTGGTTTAATGTTGATTCATGGATTGTTTACGTCGCGAGGTGATTCTAGAGTCCGCACATGGTCTTCGGAAGGAGATTGCAAAAGGCAGGAAGTAGGTTGAATGAATGCTTGAAGAGGGTGTGCACTTTCGGAGACAGTTTTTTGGAGAGTATACCGGAATAGTGTAGATATGAGAGTAGTGCAGGTTGTTTCACAGCGTGTAAGCAAGCACTTCGGTGTAGAAACATGTGAGAATCGTCGCTCGCGGAAATGCAGACCAGCAACTAGATGGAGGCCTCTTCAGATGCAAACCACAAACCCATGCACCCACTAACCCACGAACCTCAAAGTCACAAAAACCATGAACCAGAGACAAGGAATCACCAAAGGGCAGTGGCCACTTGGAAGGGAATTGCATGCAGGGAAGGCAACTTGGAAGTGAAAATGAGGGCGACAAGGTGAGCTCGCCGGTGGAATTCCTTTCGACGTAAGGGATGTACTGTCAACTTGGTCATATCAAGCGCCGCTTCAACCAAAATGATACCGAAATGGGACTTATAGTACATGTTCAAGAGTTTTGCCGCGCGCTACCGACACTGAGGTCACGACTTCCATTCAGAGCTCCATGAGAGGTGAAACTGAACGTGGTCGGTTTCGGGGGGCGATGACGGATAATCTGGTTCAGAACCTGGGGACCTAGAAACGAGATTGTTTGCAACTGCACGACACTTCCACTCAACTAGATTCAACAAAGCCTGGAGACTTTTCGCAAATTGAAGTGGATTTCTTGACAGTTCTGAGTTGAGGAACGAGGTCTGACGTTTCTGTATGGCGTTTCTGACTATCGTGACCAGCCGGACGAGGAGCTGTATTTATTTTTATTTTTTATGTAAGAATCAGTATGCCGATTTCCCATGGATATCGTCTTGTGCGAAGCAGTGCCGCCAATCATCCCAACATTCTGTTCGGACGTCAGGGGAGAACTGTTCCGAAATGGACAGTTATCAAATCTGAACTGTTTACATGATTTGAACATGATTTGTGTGTTTCAAGTTGAAATTTGTGTCCAGATTAATGAGATTTAGAGATCTGTACAGTATTTGGGAGATAGATTATTCCAAAATTAAGATCAAGTCCAAGTTGTGGTCAAAGTGAACCGTGGGTTGACTTGGTTAAGTTAAGAACCAACTTCAATCGGTGTGTAACAGCACAATCAGAGTCACGATTCTAGTGAAATAATTTATTTGCTCATAGCATTTGTCGCTGTCAGCGGGAACTGAGCATCATATTCTGAATCCGCTTTCAGCACATTTAAAGATCCATCTTACGATTTGCGTATATCGCGTATATTCGAGGCTTTTATTTTGATTCCATTTCGGGTAAGGCTGGATGCTTTCATGGTATCAACGCCTCTACTGCTTTAAAGGGTCAAAGTTGCCAAGTATCCTAACGCAGAAACAATGTCGGCTGTATAACCACCTCTAGATGATCTTCCACGAAGTACTACTAGAAGTTTACTGGAAGAAGCATGCGGATGGCAGTGACCATTCAAGAAACAAAGTTGCATACTTGGCACGGGGTGACGACACACCGCACAGTCTCCAGCATAATGAAAGCATATATTGCTAAACAGCATGTGTAGTAGAATTTCATTATGCAGTGGCTTTCAATACATGAAGATTCGACGAGTTTTCTGTTGTCACACGATGCGCATCTTAGCATCAACAAACATGTTGACTGATACTACAACATAACTGAGAGGTCAATTTGAGAGAAAAACCTGCGACTGACGATCGTGGAGAAGCTGGAATTGACCCAAGGCCATCACGCTGAAAGTAAAAAAAAAAGTTGGTCTCGTGCTTCAAAAGCTCTGCAATGGCGTTCACTGTGATATCATGTCCCACTCTGAAGCCATGAATCAAACTTTCTCAGATTATCATCATCTAGCTTCACATGCACGATTAGTGTGATTGCCTGGTTAAGTGAAGGACTTGTTCACTCGACGACATCACTTCCAGCAACACCAAGAACTGACTGCAAAGGCTCAGTATCGGCCGCAAGGATCACTATCGCCTTTGCCAGTGCCCATTATTCAACACTAACTCCTTCCTTCACAACCTCAACGCCACAGTCCTTGCTTGTGCCTCTATGCAGAGGCTTGGTGTTGCACAGAATGCCCCATTTGATCATTCAGCAAGGAAAGATAAATGTTGTGAGAAAACAAAGAGGAAGTGTATTGCTTAGATAGAAGTTTTATGAAGCAAATATAAAAGAATTCTCTACCTTACTATCAAGGATTCAAGAGAACAATCGCTTAAAATGAATCTCTACTTCTATTCTTCATATAGTACAAGTCCATGGTCTAACCACATGGACTTTTTAGTATGAACATACAAACAATTAGCTTAGTCAATAATGACCAATTAACATGTGGACACTCGTTTTCTTAGGTCATATGATGGCTTAGTAGGTTACACTCGTTTTCCTAGGTCATACGATGGCTTAGTAGGTTACAGCGGCAAAATGATATTACCACCACCAAATGGCAGCTATAACTTGTCAACTAGCAAAGCGGTGTTAGGATAGAGAGAATTTGCATTAAGAGAGTGTTAGACTTCTAGCTATCACCAATTGCTCAATTAAGCCTTAAGATTAAATAAAACAACAAGTTTATATATAAAATTGTTCATATAGAGGCAATTACATCAATACATAAGTCCTAAGCATTAAAGATCACCAAAAATAAGATAAAAATATTATAAAACCTTCTATATCCTTATAGTGAATTTTTTCCAAACTTCAACAGCTCATATCTCATGATCGGACTGTTTAAAAAACCAAAATTTTATATAAAGTATTGATATACTTTTAAAAAATACCACAACAAATTTTAAATGTAAATTTGTTACAAATCTTGAAATATTATCAAAATCCTAATAATAGCTTCAAACCCTTGCATTCATATATCCATGTGTAATTTTCTTTATATTTCACAAATTAAGTATTCAAATACCATAAAATTTTGATATATTTCTTTTTAACCTAATAACACACACTTTTAGAAATTTTGAGCCAAAAGTTCATCTGAAAACTTAAGAAATGGCTCCAACCATTACTATCAACAAAATGGCTCACTTTCTACCTACAAATTATATGTGTTATTTTTAACACTGTATAACTTTTACATATAAACTTCAAATACAAAAATTCTTTTATAAAAGATATAAATCTTGAAATTACCCTTGCGGTTGTATCTCTCGATCTCCCAAATCTTTTATAAAACTCATATCTTCAAAAGAGCAACAATATATGTTGAAAAGACACCTTAACATCAAACGGCTATAATTTCATCATCCTAATTTCAAATCCTCCAAAATTTGTGCAAAAATTTTAGCTCAAATCTTAAACATTACAATACTTGCTTTTGATTCTCAAATGCCTCTACTAAAGTCGCCAAAATCCATATTATGGTTATAGACAGCCTCGTGAATGCCTATTGGACATGACCTTATAATAATACAATTGAAGAACTTTACCTTTTTTCTTCATCCATCCATACCTTACTTTCATCCTTCCAAATAAGTTTCTTAGAAATTTAGATCTTTATCTTTGAGCTCCAATCTTTTCCTTAAATTTTATATTAAATATCTAAATTTTATATAATTTAAATATTATAATCAATATA